CCTGCGGGTCACGGTCATCCTGCGGGTTACAGACCAACCAACCAACTGGTCTAGGATCTCTTACGGATTGCGAACTATCCTACAGACCACGAGTTATCCTTCTTGAAACATTTCGGGTCACGGTCATTCTGCAGGCCTTGGACCGAACCGTCACTGGGTTACAGGTCACTGTGCGGATACTGGAGAATCTCCGCAAGTTTCGAATAATCCCGCGATCCCGAGCAATCGTGGAAGTTGCGGACGGTCCTGTGAGACTTGAGTTGTCCTACGGAACATGAATAATCCGACTGTAACTTTGCAACTCTGCGTTTGCAAGACAACATTGCCCGTTCCAGACAATCCTATGCCTCACGTCTGATCCGGCGAGTCCCGAGCTTTTAACCTTTTTCACCTGGCATCTAATGAACCTTTGCAATTCATTGACCATCCGACAGGCCCTGTAACAGTCGTCGTGTTTCGGTCTATCCTACGATACCGAGGTCATTCTGCAGGGTTAGTCCCATTCTATGATTGATGGGCCAATATAAATTGCCGGTCCATGGCGTTGCATCTCCCACCTCTTGCGGTCTTCTTCATGCTAGTACAACGCTCTGCTCTACGCAGAGCATGTAAATTGTATGACTTGAATAATTAATATTTTGAGCCTCATTGAAGATCTTGGTCTAGAATAAAATTTGTTCAACAAATGTAATTTCATTATTCATTTGTTGATTTAATAATCATCAAACATTATGATTGTTGGATGATTAATCGACATGAAGAGCGCGTGACAATATTTGTAGATGGTTTCAGGCTGGACAAAACCCGCGGCCTCAGAAGACACAGTCAATTCTTGATTCTTTTCTTCTTAGTTGGACGTATGTAAATTTAAATTTTTTAAAAAATAAACCTTCTTTTATTTGAGTACTTTCCTTTAAATAAAATTTACATCTTCTTTTCAAATTTATTCCTTTCAAAGTTTCAGTTTACGGCAGTTCTGTACTAGTCTAATTAATATTAATTTCAGCTCTAAATGTATAGTCAGTTCGACTTTCCGCAGAGCGATATTCTCAAATTCCGTGAATATTCAACCCTACAACACACACCTCCAGATGAAACTGCTTTAAAATGAAACATCTTTAGCGAGAACGCGTGGAGCCGAGAGCGTTATCGCGTTATCGCCACGGATCGCCGCGTGATCTGCGCGTGAAAGTTGCGTCGAGATTTATGCCTGGGATCAGATGACGTTTGTCTTCCGCCGTCCTGCTCACTCCAGGCCAGAGGATGCTGTTCTTCCCGAGGCATTTCTCGTCTTCGTTTGAAAGAAACGTGCAATATTTTGTGTTGAATTATATTTATATATAAATAGATTCCTTGTTCAATTTTCCGATTCACGGAAAGTATGTTCATAAATTTTGAAATCAGAGTTAAATAGCGCTTGCTATTTAATTAGCGCTCCAGACTTGTCGCGAAATAAGTTTAACCGCCCTTCAAGATAACATTTATGATTGCTGATGAATACTTTGATCAGATCGGTTCTCAGTTCAACCACAATTCTATGCTTATAATAAATTAACCGGGTGATTATGAACGTTTCCGTCTGCCCGGGTTTATATGTGTACAACGCTAAGGTATAAAACACACCTGCAGTGCATCATTTGTACCAGATATTACGCAGCAATTCATAGACTTAACTATTTTTGCCTTTTACAATTAATATCCGACCTTTTTCATTTGCCCGCTGTTGTTTGGTTTAGAAAAAAAGTTTTAAAAATCAAAGGAAACCAGAGTATTTAAGGATCACAAACACATTAAATATGTGTACTACAGCTGAAAGCGCTGCCCAAGTTATAGCATCAGCTGCACAGGAAGACCCTGAAATACCAGTGCTTACTTTCTACCGTGGGTCCAACACAAAGGCGTCTCCGCTGCCTCACTCTATAATGATGACATTTCTGCGACTGCTTACTCATCTTTTAGGCAGAAATGAAAGGTAATTTGTTACGCAGGCCCAGACTGGCCGTCAAATAAGCGCCGTGCCGCGCCCACAATGCCCCGCAATATGCCGTCCGTTCCAGCATTTAGGTCTTTCTATTGAATGGCGGACAATTTGTCGTAAATAAAAGAATGTGAGATATCCCGAAAATAAGAGAATGTGAGATATCCCGAAATGTGATTGAAATGAACTGGTAACAAAGAGATGGTGTTTAATGAATGCGTCCAGCATTTAGGTCTTTCCTTTGAATGGCGGACAATTTGTCTTAAATAAGAGAATGTGAGATATCCCGAAAATAAGAGAATGTGAGATATCCCGAAAATAAGAGAATGATCCCGAAATGTGATTGAAATTAACTGGTAACAAAGAGATTGTGTTTTATGAAGGCGAGCTGAACTGTATCACAATTCATATTTTTCTAAGCATCTGAGATGACTGAGTTTATTATTGAATTATGGCATTATATTTAGTGACCCTGTAAAAGTGACAAATTTTCATCGTTGTTATCATGCACTATCGTTGTTATGTGAGGCACAATCATTCTGCAAATTTCAATAATGTATGTTAATCACCTAAATGGCTATTACTTTCTTGCCTTTTTTGTAATTCTTGCGACTGTGACGCTGATTTTACTCCATGATGGCCGCCATTACTAGTTCCATATCATCGCAATCTCCTTAAATCCCGTTGCCGATCACCCTACACAATTTTCCGCTCACCTCTTGATCTTTTCGGTAGGTTATCTCAACAGTTTCTCAGGCAAATGATCAGGACCTCTGAATAATGAATGACCCCGATCATTAAAATGAGAACAAGCCGTTGCAGCCCGACCTCTCCTCTATCTGACGGCTGCTGGCTCGTACTCTTGCGTTCTTCGAATGCTAATTTATTATCTATGGCATCCTTTTTAATTTTTAGCGAACAACACGGTGTCAAAATCAATTTGAAGTTCACATGACATTCATCGTGAATGCTATAGGTATATATATATATATATATATTTAATTCCTTATAATTCCCGCACATCAAATAATTTAAGTGCAATTTCTTTCATTTCGTTTTTCTTCTTTCACTGATTTAAGTCTTGGGCGTAATAGCGTTCAAACTGTAAGCTTTAAGTTATCAGAAACATCAAAATATTTGAAGGTAATTATAGCCGCATAATGCCCTTTATTAAAATAGCTTGCTAGCAATTGTGCATTGACTTCCTATAGCCAGCCGAGCGTTCGACTGCATAGCTTCATATGGAGCCTCAAGCGCGAGGACTGACGCTGAAATTTCGCGAGTCTTGTTCGTTTTACGAGTCTCAATTTTGAGCTTTTAATTGCCATGCAGTTGAATAGCCGTCTAGTTGAGACCTCCTGCATTTTATTGCGTTTTAAGCAAGACCCTCGTGGGAGACCAGCTCCGTTGAGTAAAATATAATTTTTTCTATATATTATTATTTATGGCTTTCAAGATTCAGTCAAAACGACCGTTCAGCAAATTTGTTTTAAAATGCTGTGTACTTTTTCGAATGTTTTCAGATTAATTTATGCCTAAGTCCTAGCAGGTCAAGCGAATTCTCATACTCGAATCTTCATCTAAATTCTTGACGGTAGACGTACTATTCACAGCACTCGAAAAAAAATCGAGATCTCTGTAGGGGCAGATTTTTCGTGTTGCGCCTTTACATGGCTGCGGTCCGGTGAACCTGGACCGATTTTTCACGCGCGTTACTTGCGCGGGCACAAAAGGAGAGCGTAAAGCAGGAGGAGGAGGTCATTGATGTTCCCCATGATGGATGAAGCCACATGAGGCGCCGACGTTCCGTTCTGCTTGACTGTACTCGTTCAAAGAGCACAACATGGATGGACAGCTGGACGATCGACCTGCCACGACTGATGGATGGACTCATGACAGCCTGAGTGGTCCCTACATATTTCGATGTCCTCAAATGTCTGCTATTATGTCTGCAGGAGATCTGTTAGCGCAAACCCTAAAATTCTGTTGCATCACGCCCTGGAAACACCGCCTCCTACTACACACAAAATCCACTCTGTGGCTTATCAGATACACTGATGTAGTACATCACATACATATATTAATAGTAATCTTTTTAGAATGCATCAAAGTATCGGAGTTGGTGCTTGTACTAGGTATGTAATCCGCGCATGCACATATAGTAATCGGTTTGCCGCGCATCGGACATTCACAGCAACACATGACGAATGAATGTTATGAGTGGAATAATTTATATTCATGGGGTGTTTTTCAATTTTAATACTTTTTGAGAGAGTTTATCAGAGTAATATGTTCTGAAATATACTGTGTTGATTTGCACATTCGCATAAGCGTTTGTCTGAACTGTCCGGCTTACCGATTCCATTCGGCCACGATGTATTAAGTTTTTCAGCGTTCTCTCTCACTAATCTATTTAGAATTTCTTCGATCTTATATGTGAGGTCTTAAGATCCTCACCTTCTCGCCTCAGCGTTTCTTGAAGTGCCTTGAGTTATCAAAATTAGACCGATGGGAAACCGCTTTTCGAAAATTACTCCACCGATTATTCAGACCCTATACTGCTTTATTGATTTTGCGCCAATCTTTATCCACTGCGGTCTACTAATGTGAAGATGCAGATCACTTCGATTTATCTTGTTGAAGCTCCCAATTGCTCAGCTACTGACACTCGCTAGTCTCACTTGTTAAAAGTCACGAGGGTGTTTTACGATGACTGGCTGGTTGTTCAATGGGCCGGATCGACCAATGACAATGATTTAAAATTGATTTTACCTTGAACAAGATTACATGTCATGACTAAATGTCAGAGACACGTTGAAAAGTTTGTACCTTTTCTATGAGAACAAAATAAGTTGTTCAAAGAACATTTTCACTAAATCAATAACCTGAAGCTTTTCTAAATGAACTTCGAAGGGTGACCGCTTTATTCTTTTCTAAATTTTATTCTGTCGTATTTTTTTCGCATATACCTTGTGGGAACGATTATTAATTTTATTTTAACCTTGATTTTTGTTGTCAACAGGCGACTGGGGATACCACAGGCAGGGCTCCTGCCAGGCTGGCTTCGGTGCTGCGCTATCGCCTGTAAGAAGACAACTCTCATTTAGCTAATGATATTTTATTTAGAAGTCCTGTACAATGAGTCTAGGTAAACAATCGGCAACATTTTTATAGGAGAAGACAACTCTCATTTAGCTGATGATATTTTATTTAGCCGTCCTGTACAATGAGTCTAGGTAAACAATCGACAACGTTTTTATAGGATAGGTCGGTTCGGGCCGCGATGAACGCCCAGTGAATCAATAAGTATGCGTTTTGAAAGATGAGTTTGCCCTGCAATCTTTGAAATTGTTCAAATGTTCTTGGTAGATTTTAATGAAGAATGTTTTTTGCAACAAACGAAGGTAGGGTTATTAACATTATTGCATTTTGATCACTGATTAATCAAAATTGAGAAATTAAGCAAATTTCTCAAATTTGATTAATCAGTGATGAAAATGCAATAATTTAATAACCCTACCTTCGTTTGTTGCAATTCATAATTATATATACACTGCAGTTTTAATTAACACGTTGCGTATGCTTCGAGACCCGTGCCTTACCTAATCCGTTTGGCGTTACTTTCATATGATTTTAGAGTTTAAATGAATTATTGTTTTTATAGTGACAAATAAACTCGAGGCATTTTGTAGGGATAAACTTGAGTTCTAAATGCATTTCGACGTGACTCCCCTGTTGGTCAAATCGACGCCTAAAGTTATCTCTTACCTGAGCCATGCAGATAGAGAACATTTGGTTAATGCATTGGTGCTGGGGTGTTACGAATGATTTCAAAACTTGTATTTTAATTATGAAATTGCAAGATCATATGGGGTAATAATATATATAGCCTGGTATAATTTATTCATGTCTTCAATCTATTTGCAGAATGGGAACCATCTTTTCATCGGTGCTCCTGGAGCTTATTACTGGCAAGGTATGCAGCCAAATGTATACTACTGTACTTGCTACAGTATACAGTACAGTATACAGACATGAACAGTACTACTGTACTGTTCAGGTCTGGCATGAAAAAGCCTATGGATAAAAATTGAAAGTTGAACATAAGCAGGCAACCAATCTATTAATTATTATTAATTCGTAAATACGAACGCCACATATCGATATTGATGAGGCTCAGAAGATAAATGTCAACAATTCGGTTTACTTTGCTGACTCGATCTTCATTACGATGCCCTGAGCTGGAGTGCTGCGTCAAGCCTCAGAGCTTATCAACGTCACTTTTATTTTGATCATGAAAATATATTGTGAGTGATTGCCGTTAATATTTGCTTCANTTCAATGTTATTGATTGGCTCGACTTTTTAAGTTAGTGAATGTCCCGCTTGGGAACTTGCCTGCATGATGCCTCAGTGATTTTCTGCAACGCCGAAAATGTACAGTTACTCAGATATTGTTGCATGATCCTTCATATTTTGATTGTTTTGATATCCCAAGCTTTTCATGTACGACTAAACCGTGATTTTTTTATGGGCGTGGTTGACTTGATTTCTTTGAAATGATGCAAGCATTTACATTTAAGTTGAATTTATGTGTTGGTGAGAATTTTTGTCACACTTATCTCCTGTAATCCCCTTGATTCGTCAAATTAGTTTGAAATAAAACTGAATAAATTTTAGATTCGTGACTCGACTTGGGCTATTTTTAATTGGCTTAAAAGTACATTGTGTACGATTTTAATCGAGCCCCTAAATATTGTTCCCTGATATCTAAATATCAGGGAACAATATCTTATAAATACCTTTGATGCCCTGCCAAATGAATGATTTAAACGTTCAAATTTGTTACTTTCACTTTTTTGTTGGTCTTACCCTAATTTTTTTTCCTTTTTTTTTTTGTTGTTGTCATAAGTTTATTTTCAACCTGGAATGTCACTCTTCTGAGTTTGGCTTAGTGAGAGAACTCCAAATATTTCGCCGCTGCTCATTTAGCATGTTTAAAATTACCTAAATCCTATGAAGACCACACTGTTAGAAAAAAACGGTGAAAAAACGGTCCCACCGGCATCCTAGTGGCCGGTCGCCCCGTGTAAATAAACTGTTTCGCCGTTTTTATCAGATGTTTTACGGATTTCTGGTGCTAAATTGGAATAAAAACGGTGAAACGGTGTTTCTTTTCACGTGCCGACCGGCCACTGAAATGCCGGTAATACCGTTAACGGTCATTTTTCTAACAGCTAGTGCACTCATTAAAAAGCGAAACCTGCGTACAATTTCTATGCTCCCCTGTCAGATTAAATTAATATATGAGTTGGAACGGCATTTTGAGCAAAAACCTATTAAATGGTCATTGAACGAGAGTTCAATAACCATCACATGTAAATTACAATCCTAACCAACTGGAGCAATAAATTTGAAATTGTACGCGTGTCAGTATCGACATAATTTCGTTCAATCGAGTTACCAAATTATCCTATAAAATGAAGCTTCATTTTTCCCGTTGCCAAATCCTTCAAACATAACGACGAGTTTAAATTTTCCACGGCAGCAGCTTTTTAGCGCATTTTCTCATTTATGGAAAAAATGCACTATTGTGCTCGCCATGTCCGTCTGTCCGTCTGTCTGTCTGTCTGTCTGTCCGTCCGTCTGTCCGTGACCTCAAGTTTTCGTCGACGAGAAAATGCGCTCTCTGTCACTCACTGCAGTGAGTACTGAGTTATATTTTTTGTTCAACTTGTTTAGTGTGCAGAGCTTGGCTGTGTTATAATTTGCTGTGTTCCTGTTCAATGTTCAATGTTCTGTTCAATGTTCTGTGTTATAATTTGCTGTGTTCCTGTTCAATGTTCTGTGTTCTGTTCAATGTTCTGTGTTATAATTTGCTGTGTTTCTGACGCACAAGTTCAATGTCCCCTCAGGCCAGGGCTGGGTGGCGGACCTGCAAGGTAAAAAATGTCCCTCATGTTCCTAAGTCTCTTCTAATTTATGTATCCAGGTCTTTGGGACTCAAGAGACTTAATCAAATAATCACTTTTTTCTTATAGGTTTGATAAATATATTAATTTTCTGTAAGTTATTTAAAATATTTCTTAAAGTTTTTTATAATTTAATAATGCGTTCTGCTGTGTTTGCTTCACCGCTTTCACTCGTGAATGTTCCAATTAATGTTAATTAAGTTTTGTTTTGTATTAATTCAACTTTTTTGTTTAATAACCTTTTCCGCGTGTTATACTCGGATAACTTCACGATCACATTGTGACTCACTATGAACAATTAAATATTGAAGATTTTCTTACATTATTACAACTGTCCATTTTAAAGGCTTCTTGCTGATAAAGTGATGCACTACGTCATTTTCCTATGGCATTTATAGCAAACCCAACTCCTCTTATATTAGGGATTTCATCTAATTTTGACTAGACTGCGAATTTATATTGATGGTTTGGAATACATGGTTTTCTGCTTGTAGGGCATTTGGCTTGATTAATGCAAAGTGGCTAATCTGTGATTTTTAATTTTCCTTTGCACTCGTCGTTTATGCTTCTGACCCCCTCTCTGTATTTCATATTTAACTAGAACTTGTTTACCTATCCCTACGATTTGTTTACGATCCTTAAGTACAAGTAGGGATCCTTACACAACAAGTAGGGATCCTTACGATCCCTACTTGTTTACCTATCCCCTGTTTACCTACGATTTTTGCCAATCACATATTCTACGAATTTTATGCGTCGCTGAAAAATATAGGGTTAAACCGATCCGGATGGTCCTTCAGTTTACACGGTTGGTGTGAAAATCCAACTTAGTTTGTCATTATTTTCATGAAACAATGAATAAAATCTTTGGCAACTGTCGAAGTAAGAAAGGATGTTTGTAAAAAATATTCCTGACCTAAATCGATCGTAAAGTTCGGTTGTATTATAACTGAATAAGAAGAATTTTCATGCTAATATTGCTACTAGGCTCATCGTGTGAGATTGTCGATGATGACACCTCAATTCGGAACATTCAAGCCTTTTCCTGTCATATTCAATAATAGCTTTCTTCCAGTCACGCATCCTTTCCTGCCTTCAATTATATCTCACCAGGTCTCTCCACACTCCTAAATAATCCTGAATACTTCTTAATTGTTGTTCCTGCAGGCCAGATACACTCGCAGAGTCTGGAGCGACGTGTCGAGTATGTGCGTACAGGCGAAGGTCCAGCCATTGATGACGACCAATACTTGGGATACTCGATGGGGGCGGGCGACTTCTCCGGCGACGGTGTTGCAGACGTGGCCATCGGCGTGCCCAAGGGACTCAACTATACCGGCAAGGTCGGTATAGATGAAAAAAAAAAAAAACTCGGGGAGGTAGGGACTCAACTATACTGGCAAGGTATAGTTGAGCCCTCGGGGTATATAGACTCGGGGAGGCTTGCGACTTGGAGCTTTCAGTGGTCCAGATTTGGGGTAGCATCAGAGGAGTCGGGACTCGGGGAGGCTTGTATGACCTCAGGCTTGCGATTTAGAGCTTTCGGTGGTCGAGATTTGGGGTAGCATTAGAGGAGTCATAGTACGGATAATTAAGAAAATGTATTTTTAGCGCATTTCCTCATTTATGGAAAAAATGCACTATTGTGCTCCGTCCGTGACTTCACGTTTTCGTCGACGAGAAAATGCGCTCTCTGTCACTCACTGCAGTGAGTACTGAGTTATATTTTTTTACTTGTTGGATTGAATCATAAGTTGACGGATATTCCCACAATTTATTTTACTAGGGTAAAAATATTTTATTTGATGTTGTATCAAATTAATGGAGATGCTATAGAATTATAAGAAATATTATGCTGGATTCTTGTAGATTCTTCTTTAAAATAGCAGCTCATCTTAATAGCATTAAAATAAATTCTGCTCATCACGCATCTTGTTATTAAGGTTGTCTTATTTTAATCAAGCGCGCGATGCGCTTGATTAAGACATGCATATCTTGAATTTCCCTAGGAGTAATAATTTGAATTGAATTTCCCTAGGAGTAATTTCCCATCAACCATTTGAACAGCTCCTACACTGTTAGAAAAATGACCGTTAACGGTATTACCGGCGTTTCAGTGGCCGGTCGGCACGTGAAAAGAAACACCGTGTCGCCGTTTTTATTCCAATTCAACACCTAAAATCCGTAAAACAGCTGATAAAAACGGCGAAACCATTCATTTTCACGGGGCGACCGGCCACTAGGATGCCGGTGGGACCGTTTTTCACCGTTTTTCTAACAGTGTACTTATTGCAAATTTTGCCTCCTTTAACATGCACTGACGTTCAACTTGGAGTATTGTTTTGGTTGTAATATTCCCCAGTGGGTTTAGTATATTAGTACACTTTATTATTGGTCCTGGTTCTCGGCGACTTCATTGAATACATGCCTACCTAACCCTTAAGCTGTTAAGTGCAATATTTCACCTTCTTGTGTAATCAGTGAACTCACCTCCAGGAACCACCATTCATTTTTTTTAAAGGCCTCTCGGCGACTTCCTTGCCAGCATTCATGTTGATGGAAGACTATATAGGATTGAATTGATTCTATTCCGCATTCTTATTGCAGCCAAAGTGGCTTATAATCACGTGAAGTATGCATGTAGTATAGCTTTATACACACAACACGTTGACAACCTAATAAAGAAAAATTCGAGTGGCAGCCTCCTTTCCGGGAATAAATAAACCNATCTGACATGTAATTTTTCATTATGGATTAACTTTTCCCCCTATGGTAGTGTTATTACATAGACTTCATATTTATTTATTTCCTCAAGACACGGACCATCTTATGAATGATGAATGTTGAACCGCACTCAAACTCGACCATCTTATGAATGTTGAACCGCACTCGAATTCATGAAATCTTTCGCTTATCAAAGTCATAATATTTTTCGTTGTGGGTGCCAGGACGCGGCCCATCGTAAGCATGGTGAACCACACTCTGGTCTTCAAGACAGAGTCCCGCACCCTCAACATAGAGGACACATCTTGCACAACACTCAGCGGCGTCGCCGTGCCCTGCGTCGACCTCCAGATCTGCCTCTCCTACACCGGCGTCGGTGTTGGGCCTCAGACTCGTAAGCTCACTTTTCCTCATCTCTGTAGGGTCGGTATGACGGTCTCTGACGTAATAGATCTCTGGGGTCTCTGACGTCCGAGATCTTTGGGGTCTCTGACGTCCTAGATCTTTGGGTCTCTGACGAACTAGACCTTTGAGATCTCTGACGTCTTAGATTTTTGGAGTCGTTGACGTCCGGGATCTCTAACGTCCTAGATCTTTGAGGTCTCGAATAGTGCCATGGTACGATTAAACCGATCCGGATGGTCCTTCAGTTTACACGGTTGGTGTGAAAATCCAACTTAGTTTGTCATTATTTTCATGAAACAATGAATAAAATCTTTGGCAACTGTCGAAGTAAGAAAGGATGTTTGTAAAAAATATTCCTGACCTAAATCGATCGTAAAGTTCGGTTGTATTATAACTGAATAAGAAGAATTTTCATGCTAATATTGCTACTAGGCTCATCGTGTGAGATTGTCGATGATGACACCTCAGTTCGGAACATTCAAGCATTTTCCTGTCCTATTCAATAATAGCTTTCTTCCAGTCACGCATCCTTTCCTGCCTTCAATTATATCTCACCAGGTCTCTCCACACTCCTAAATAATCCTGAATACTTCTTAATTGTTGTTCCTGCAGGCCAGATACACTCGCAGAGTCTGGAGCGACGTGTCGAGTATGTGCGTACAGGCGAAGGTCCAGCCATTGATGACGACCAATACTTGGGATACTCGATGGGGGCGGGCGACTTCTCCGGCGACGGTGTTGCAGACGTGGCCATCGGCGTGCCCAAGGGACTCAACTATACCGGCAAGGTCGGTATAGATGAAAAAAAAAAAAAACTCGGGGAGGTAGGGACTCAACTATACTGGCAAGGTATAGTTGAGCCCTCGGGGTATATAGACTCGGGGAGGCTTGCGACTTGGAGCTTTCAGTGGTCCAGATTTGGGGTAGCATCAGAGGAGTCGGGACTCGGGGAGGCTTGTATGACCTCAGGCTTGCGATTTAGAGCTTTCGGTGGTCGAGATTTGGGGTAGCATTAGAGGAGTCATAGTACGGATAATTAAGAAAATGTATTTTTAGCGCATTTCCTCATTTATGGAAAAAATGCACTATTGTGCTCCGTCCGTGACTTCACGTTTTCGTCGACGAGAAAATGCGCTCTCTGTCACTCACTGCAGTGAGTACTGAGTTATATTTTTTTACTTGTTGGATTGAATCATAAGTTGACGGATATTCCCACAATTTATTTTACTAGGGTAAAAATATTTTATTTGATGTTGTATCAAATTAATGGAGATGCTATAGAATTATAAGAAATATTATGCTGGATTCTTGTAGATTCTTCTTTAAAATAGCAGCTCATCTTAATAGCATTAAAATAAATTCTGCTCATCTTTGGCGTTCTGGAAATAATTTTAAATCCCTTTTTTGTGCTGTTTGGTTTGGAAAGCCCTTTAATTTTTTAGTGTACAAATTACCTATTAATTAAAACGATAGTTTTCATATGGGGATTTAGACAGTTTGGTTAGCGTAAGAGCTGACAGTTGCTCTCCCTGTATATACCTACCCATCCAACTTGTTTTGTATATATAAATATATATATATATATATCATGATCATGCACAGCTTCTTGTTCCAATTATAATTTGTAAATTCTAATGTACAGTCCTGCAGTATTCATCTAAGTTTTTTCGGCCTGGTTAAACCCTGAATATTTTTAGAGCTTCTACAGGTGCCCATTAACTTGAAATTCATTTCCGTTCACCCTTTCATTTCGTTGCCTTTTATACAAAGTTTATTTTGCCTCATGAATTGATTTCATGAAAAAAAAATTTGCGCAAATTTGACCAAACGATTCTTATTTGAATCTTGTGGTGGTCTCCCTAGATCAGTAGTGAGCACAAATAAAACTAAAAATACAAAAGATTGAAATTATTTATTATTTCCGCATTTAATACTTTTCTACTTATTATTATCTATTATATTAAATATTTTCAGCAAGAATGTTAGAAGTGAAAAGTTTATTCACATTTAATTTTTTTAAATGGCCTGCCATCGTTAACATGTACATATTTGTGGCCTCAGTTCAATTAGACGCTATAATTAGCTTCTAGTCTTCTAACGAACGCATTCAAATGCCGATTTTTGTGAATAAGAACTATCACGTTGTTATTTCTGCAGTAGTGCATGACTAGAATACATAAACTGGAGTGTGTGAGTGACAACTTAGTAGTCTTGTCCTTCCGGTCTGAGCTTCACGCACGAACTTTTTTGAAGTATTTTGGTGTCTATGGTCCATGAGGTTTTATATACATTTCATTTTCTGGTGCATTCATTTTAGCGCTTTATTTCATTGAATCTCGAATTTCGTCACGCATCTTGTTATTAAGGTTGTCTTATTTTAATCAAGCGCGCGATGCGCTTGATTAAGACATGTAGATCTTGAATTTCCCTATAGGAGTAATAATTTGAATTGAATTTCCCTAGGAGTAATTTCCCATCAACCATTTGAACAGCTCCTACTTATTGCAAATTTTGCCTACTTTCACATGCACTGACGTTCAAATTGGAGTATTGTTTTGGTTGGACTATTCCCCAGTGGGTTTAGTACATTAGTACACTTTATTATTGGTCCTGGTTCTCGGCGACTTCATTGAATACATGCCTACCTAACACTTGAGCTGTTAAGTGCAATATTTTACCTTCTTGTGTTATCAGTGAACTAACCTCCAGGAACCACCATTCATGTTAATGGAAGGATTGAATAGATTCTATTCCTCACTCTTATTGCAGCCTAAGTGGCTGTGAAGTATGTATGTAGTATAGCTTTACACACCACTAGGTACACGTTCACAACCTAATACAGAAAAATACGCCTCCTTTCCGGGGATAAATAAAACGGTTATGTTCAACGCTGGCTCCAAGGCCTGATCATGGCGTGTCGTTCCTTTAGGTTAAATTTGGATTATATTCAAAGTTACATTGGCCTTTGCACTAGATCTTCAGACGACGCATCCTTGTTTTGTTCAGAATCCATCATTCATTTCATGTCTTGGCTGTTGTCCCGTGGTTAATTTTGTTTCAATTAGTCCCTTAACTAACAGTTGAACTTAACGCTCAACGGTAAATCAACGCATGTGTTCGTTTGCGAGAAAGATACTCCTATAAATTGCCATTTCGGTCTACGTTCTTAAAGCAAATACGTCACTCTCACTTGTGCTTGCAAATGTTGGTTTGCACAAGGCTTATTAACTTATGTTGAGGCCAGACTGAACTTGAAAAAAACCATAGGTACGTTGTGCACTTGTTCCTGATGTGCTACGCTGTATGTCTTTTATGTCCTGCTGAACTTGGCTGAGACTCAGGACAACAGCAGATGGAAGTGAGCTTTCAATTCCGTCCAACTGCGCCAAAAATGAAAAATAGTCTTCATTCGTGTGTTTCTCTACCGCCTAAGATTTCTTTCTTCAACTTAGATTGAATGCTACATTCTTTTATGTTTTGTTTGTGGTCGGTCGCAGTCGTTTTAAGCAGCACATCGAAATGTATGTATACTTAAACCGAGCGTTGACAGATACATGGGCGTGTTGCTTCCTTAAAGACCAATTTTCCTCGTCATCCCAAGAACATCCAGCGCGAGAAACGTAAGAACAAAGGAGGAGTCCGAACGAGCCGCAACCCCACGCCGTTTTGGCTCTTGCAGCAAACGGCTTGGGCGGACTCATTCGAACAGAATGGTTTTGTGTTCAACGCTAACATGAGTACAGGATATGAATGCACCCCTCTGAATTCAATGAGTCAAAGTCCTGGAAGAAACAAACCAGCTTACGGAGGCTGGGCGATCGCGTTGGGTGAATTCAATTCCCATCATCCATTCGAGGAGCTTGCAGTGGCCATTCCTAGAGGGCCCGACAAGAATGGGATCCTCACTGGCAAGGTAGTTTGTTGTTCCCGCATTTCGGGACCTAGCCAAGTTTGCCTGCAACAAGAAATTGGATGCTGCTTTCAGTGTCTCTTACTTGCTCTGCAGGTCTCGGACTCGCCGTTTCAGGTGCCGTCTATCTTTCCTACGCCTGTTCGTTGTTGAGAACTACGAACCACCAAATATTCTTTCTTAAAATTTTAACCAATTCAATAATTCATTTGTTGTTTAATAATATTTGTTAGTCTTGACCTTGGAAGAATTTTCGGTGGTGACGCGAGGAGACTCACGAAATCGATGATTTTTCTCCATCTGATTGTCTGTCATGAGCCAGCCATTGGCAGAATGTGAAGGCTATCAATCTAATAATCTTATTTACGAAAGATTTTCTTAAATAAACTACCATGAACTGAGAGAAATTCAATACCTGGAATTTTGAAATACGTCAAACAACTGCAGCTCGTCTTTTAGCGCAGAGAACGCGCTGTACCTAGATCTGACTGCGAGTGATGTCTGACCAAGGGTTCTCACTTCTACTTTTAAAACTTTGAGCTTTTAAAACTTTGTATATGTAGTGATTTTGCCATAAGTTATACCTCAACTTGTCAAACTGATTCATACGTACCTCAACTTGTCAAACTGGCATGAAAGAAACTGCTGCTTGAAAAACCGAAGTAAATTTGGAATTTTGTCCACTTACTTAGCCTGGATCATAAAATGTCAGAATTTTCAGTTAGTCATTTCTCTCTTCTTTACCACGAATTATCAAATGAGTTGAATGCTAACGCAGTTTTCCCAAAACCTGTGGCTTGAAATGAACCAAATTTTCTATTCTGAAAATGTATTTCGTAAAATCGTTGATTATTCGACTGAATGTTTTACATTTCCCCTCGGCTGACTGATTAGTGTCCGTCTACAGTCAATGTTAATAATGACGCTGAAAAGCCAGAGGCTTATTGTTCTTTGGTCGTTTTTAATTTTGAACGTCATTGTTTATCTCTTGGATGTATTGCCTACTGACAGCTTTATTTGTTGGTGCAATTTTTGATGTGCTTGCGAAGGAGCATCGTGCTAAATTAATGTAGCACCGCGCTAAATTATTGTGGTTTCTGTACATTTTGAATGTTTGCAATGTTTTGATGTGCGAACTGCACTGTCAGTGTTTTTGCGTTTCTGCTTCATTTTATAATTGTGTTTCTATTTTAAGAGTTATTCATGCATTTCTGTATGTGTTTTTACGAAGTGCATGTTGTCATTTATTCCCCATGCCTTTTCAATGATTTAAAATAGTTCGTCCGTTTTTCGCTAAATTTCATTACAATTAATAAATTTTACATTCACTTTATGTGCATCTTAAATACTATAATCTGAGTTTTTTATCTTGTTTGTATGTGTGCACGATTTTTTTTTTTTTTTGCTCTGTGTTTCCTGAGGACATCGCTTTAAAATTTTGTTTTAATTTTACAATTCTCTTTACAATTTTGCTTTAATTTTACAATTCTCTTAGCTAAGCATATGAAAAGAAATTGTATTCGTTAAACAATTATTAATAGCCTGCATTAGAACACTCGCACGTTTTCTTTTTATAAAGCACGATGCATGCAAAATCTTTAGTGTCTCGATGCTTGAACAAGACAGTCAGTCTCGATGCTTGAACAAGACAAGCCCTTTTCCTATCAAAGAAATATTTTGTCTTTCATACTTATTTTTCTGGAACGTTATCTTCCCGAAAAAATGCGCGAAAAAAATACAATGACAAGTATCAATGGAGGCAATTGATCCACTAATGTATATGTATATAAATATGTATATATACATATAATATGTATATGTATATAAATATTATATGTAATATATTTACTCAGCTCTACAAATGCTTCTCTTAACGCTTGCATAATAACGCACGCATTTATTCTTGTATATAAACTGCATTATGTGTACATTTTTGACATTTGGCACGTGCTGTAAAACATCGCAGAATGCATGTTTAAAATATATAATGATATATCTAAACAATCTTTAGATTGTAACAATCGCTACGATCTTTAGATTGTAACAATCGTTACAATCTTTAGATTGTAACAGTCGTTACAATCTTTAGATTGTAACAATCTTTACAATCTTTACATCTTCGTTACAATCTTTAGATTGTAATAATCGCTACGATCTTTGGATTGTAACAGTCGTTACAATCTTTAGATTGTAACAATCGCTACAATCTATAGATTTTACAATTGCTACAATCTAATTGTTAATCTCCCGTTAAGCGCGTGCTAACTTTTAATGTTCAACATCGCTCGGTTATTTTGTATGCTCGCATTTACCTTGCATTTTCTAATCTTAACTCGAGGGCCTTAAAAATGAAGCAAAGTGACGTCACGGGGTCGATAAGATCCCAAGCTTCCAAAGATTATTTAAAAACTTCAGTTTACCTAAGAATAGTGAATTTATTTTGTAATGTCGCTGATAATTACCGAATTTCATATAAACTGAACCTATTGGTAGCACATGTTTGAATGGTTTGTTAATTTTCTTTCTGCTCCATTTTTTCTGAATTTTTATTTTGTTTTCAAATGTGTGAATCTTGAGCATGAAAGTCTTTACATGTTACTTTCTTTGGTGAAATAGATTCTCAATTTCGCCAAATATATTCGATTTAGCTTGCTGAAAACGCTAATCTTCGTTTGTGCTTATAAGCCTGTTTTTGTTACTATTTGCTTCCGTGTGAATTCTAGGATTATTTGCTAGCAATGGTTATGTTATGTTTTCTATAATATTCACAGTTCATCGTAACATTGCCTTCTACGAAATCAATCAATATCTTTTTCTTATCGATATATTTCTTTAGCATTGATATAGTTTTTTGCAACAACAGCACGAACAATGTCATTTTTAATCATCAATTATGATGTTTTGTACCGATTGCGTGACTATTATTAGATTCATACAATTCAACACGTTTCGACTTATTTCTTGTGTGCTGCTTACACAACCGCTTAATTATTCCAGCGTGTGTCGAGCACAACTGAATCTATGCAAAAATACATATAATGAACTCCGTTTTCTGATAACGTTGAGTCGAATCGTAATTTTCATCAAGCAATAATCAGTTTTGCTTTGTGCCAAAAAGAATCCTCCTTTGTACATATATCTTTGCATCTCTCTATAAATTTTCGACTTTTTTTCTCGAAGCATTTTTACTAGTGCTGACCTAACTATTTACAATACAATGTACGTTCTCTAATAAACTTCCATCAGAATATTAACAGCATTTCTTATCACGGATCAGATTGCGATCTACTCGCACGACCTGATCAACCTGCAGAACATCTCGGGATACCAACTGGGATCGTATTTTGGCTACAGTCTCGCGGTGACAGACTTGAACAACGACGGCCGCGACGATCTCATAGTTGGGGCTCCTCTATACACTGACTACCTCGACAGGGAAATGAAGTACGAGGTCGGACGAGTCTACATCATCCTGCAAAACAGTGCCGTGAGTAACGCCATGTGAAACTTCTAGTTTCATGGACAGTTATCAGTGCACACCGATCATTTGGGTAGTCAATGCACAGTGAACACTGGTAGGTAGAGTCAGTAAGATGTAAGAGTATTTATTAGTAAGTGTTTTTAAGTCCTAAGCGGTCTGTGTTACTTTTACTTTTGAGTGTTAGCCTTAGTGAAGTTTCTTCCAACACAAATCGGGCGACGAGAGCACTGTTGAATGCGTTTTTTCTATATGAATCATGTTTTATAACGAGAAATATCACATGTGTAAGGAAATGTTCATAAAGCTTCACATTGTGCCAGCATAAGTAAATGAACAGACTAAGCAACCGACTCCGTGATTGTAAAAATTATTTGCACCATATTTTATTTCTACATGATCGAAACGCGTTTCTCTATCACCTGCTTCACCTATTCAAGTTCTTCATATTGAGATATTGAGGATCCAACATGTTAACCGCCTTCACTTTCTCAATTAGAGTAGGTAACCGCTTAACAAACGTAATTCCCATAAGACCTTAAGTAGTTCACGTTACCTTCGTTGATGCTTTAAACCGGTCAGCTGTGAAAGCGTATTTCGAATTTACGATCGTCCTTAATGAAAAATTTGTTCAGTATCTAACCTCTGCATGGCAGGAATGTTGAGAAGAAGGCGCGTGGAACAGCCACTGTGGCATCCATAGACCGCAGCTGTTAAATCATTACTGCCGAGTCATGGTCTGCCAGAACACGAGTTCTCTTTTCAGATTTTTTAAGTGAGCTCCGTAATTTTTGATTGCCATTGTGGCAATCTTCTTATTTACGCCAAACTGCCGAGTCACTCATACACTTGCAAAATTGACCGCAAAACTGTCGCTGTGTCCCACAGATTTGTGTCTCGGTAAACTGTTGAGCGGCGCATCTGGCGAAACTTGTGAAACCCACGCAGCTGTGTAAACCTGAAGCTGTGAAATTCTGGTGCTAGGAGCTCTTCCAATTTGAAGGAAAGGATTCCCTCTGCATCTTATGCATCAAGTTGTCCGAGTTAGGGACTTCGTCGATTTTTGTGATAGCGAATTGTTCTTGACATTTTCATTTAATTTTTTTTGTTTACTATTGCATGAAGGTGGATGACTTTCGTTCGCTGCATACAATTTGGCAACTCGCAACAGGTGGTTCCATTTTCTCAGGCTTCAGCCAACCAAGTTCAGTAGACCTTGATCAAATTGTATACAAATTAGCTAGGAATGCAATTTTTTGTGATTTCATTCCTTTCTAATAATGAATTTTATTAACGAATGAGTTGTAAATTCAAATATCTCGATGATGCTAATTTTTTATCATATTGATAAGACTTCAGAACCTCGTGGCTATAGTTTAGCTGGCCGCCTCGCCTAATTCTTATGAGAAAAGTATTCGTTGTTGCATCACCCGAGGTCGCTATTACAGCCTGGCTGTGTCCAGCCAATTAAGGTCGTTTGAGGGCCGCTATTAGCAACTCTATCGCGGCCCTAATCGAACGACTTGCGGTGCATCAAGACGTCATGCTGAACCATGCCACAATTACAGCTCTCTCCAGATGCAGTGCCTTAGTTAATTCAGCCTCAGAAGTTAAACTTAACTTTGTCGACTGTTTGTTAGAAGTTGTTGTTAGTTTTACTAATTATTAATTACATAGGTTCGTATAAAGACCTAGCTGACAGCTTTCTAAATTTTTAGAAGTTAAACCTAACTTTGTCGACTGTTTGTTAGAATTTTTAGTAATTATCCGGTATGTTTCGTTGCTTCTGTATTTCCTTAATTATATAGATTCGTATAAAGACCTAGCTGACAGCTTTCTAAATTTTCAGAAGTTAAACTTAACTTTGTCGACTGTTGTAAGAAGTTGTTAGTTTTAGTAATTATTCGGTATGTTTCGTTGCTTCTGTATTTCCTTAATTATATAGATTCGTATAAAGACGTAGCTGATAGCTTTCTAAAAATGTCCTCGTTAATTATTACCGAGGGATTTTTAGTTCTCTCTTTAATCATAAATTCCACCAGTTACTTTACGAGTTTGCTGTAAATTTTCTCATGTTATTTTATTTATATATCTTTTAATTCACGTGATCCGTTCAAAAAAATCGAGTAACATGGGAATCGTGCTTAATTAAACTTTGAGTTCTGAGTTCAACCCATTTACAGTTAATTCAATCTTCTACCTCTTGATCTCGCTCATCTTTGCCTGATTTATAATTCATTGGAGCGCTGAAACAGCAATTGNTCTCGCTCATCTTTGCCTGATTTATAATTCATTGGAGAGCTGAAAGAGCAATTGTTCGCGGCTACAGGTCATTTCTCCGCCCCTCCTCCCAAAAGCAGTTCTATCAATTTGGTCGCGGGACGCCGAACGAGAGGAGGTCACTTCATTTATTAGGGCCGTGCTATGGCCTATGATGAGGACCGTTAGATTGCAAGATGTCTTCATCGGGCGCTATAACGATGTTGTTGTTCAGGACCAAGTTGCTGCAGCTAGTGATGTTTATTTGTTTATTATAGAATCCTGATGCTAGAAATCGTTGCTCAACCTATATAGGTTGCCTTCTGAACAAATGGTACTTAGAGAGTCATGTATTTATGAATGAATTAAATGGGATTTTGTTTACAATTTAAAAACCTGTACTATTATTTTCACAGCATCACATGAAGATTGTACTCAGCCTTGAAGGAGAGGTTACGAAGGCAAGATTCGGTTTGTCTGTGGCAGCCATCGGCGATATAAACATGGACGGATTCAACGGTGAGAGAGCAACTATTTATTTATTGTATTCAGTAAAGTTCCATCCTTATAGAACGAGAAGGCTCGTGGCACGCTGAGTCTCAAGTAAATTGTAATGAGCTTTTTTCATTTGAAAAATGAGCAAAATGTGTGAAATGCTTAATTGAGATTAAAACTTAAGTCATTGTTCTACATTGCGAGCGTATTTTTTAGTGTCTAGTACAGGAAACATGTCCTTTGTGCGTTGCTTCGCTTTATTTTTTTGTTGGAATGCTCGTGTCAACTTCATTCTGGAGCGATTCTTTAACATCTGGAACTCGACGTATGCCTACCATTAGGTTTCTGGATAAACAAACCTCAAATTTATTTAGTGAAGATAATTGGTTGTGATTAAGAAGGATCTTAGATAAAGATTTGTTTCTGTATGCAATGTTGCAGACATTGCAGTGGGCGCCCCATACGGCGGTCCGGATGGCATGGGTGCGGTCTACATCTACCACGGCTTCGGCCTCCGCAGCAGCGACCTGCCTAACCAAGAGAAGCAAAAACCTGCACAGGTAAGGACTCTCGAGAAATAATCGTTTTGTTCTACATTTGATTTCATTTTGTTGAGTATTGCCAATGTTATACATCGCCTTAGACAAGCTAATTTCATTACTTAATAACTTGCTTTTGCTATATAAAGTTTTTAACATGACTTTACTCAATGCAGCGGAGGTTCACGATCTCAAATTTTCTCATTTCTTTGCGGGATTTTACGCATTTTGTGCAAATTATCACCTTCTAAAATTTGACGAGCTTCTCGCGTTGCAGGTGATCTACAGCAGACAAGTAGGAGGCGGCATCAGCACCTTCGGCTGGTCGCTGTCAGGAGGTCTGGACGTCGACAACAACGAGTACCCCGACCTCGTGGTGGGGGCCTACTTGGCCAACACCGCTGTCATCCTCAAGTGAGAGGGGATATTCTCTTGCAATGTCCGCGTTTTATTTATTTCCAACAGTTTTTGAATTTGTGGCCCAGTGGGTGGCCAGGGTGAACTGAAACAGGGTGGCCCAGTGGTTACAGTTCAGAGTACCAAGATTGGCGCAGAGAGGTGCGGGTTCGATCCCAGCTCTGTGCGCCAGTTTCTGGTCAGAATCGGCGAGGAGGTCGGATGGTTAAGCACAGCAGAATTGAATCAGTGAGTTGTGAGTTCCAGACCGCAACAAGTTGTGGATGTTCTGCGATGTTGAGAATCGGCAACAGGCCTATGGCCTAATAAACGCTGAAACCGCTATTATATTATATATATATACTGATATCAACTGTTGTTACCGGGCATTAAGAAAGGTTGCATCGACAGCAATTAATATATCCATGTATCAAGCTAACTGCGCTAGGTTTAAATTATCTGAGATTATAACTCCTTCAGTTATCAATAATTAATTGGAATTTTGAAGTTGATGGAAAAATCTGGGAAGTATCAACACTATAATACCACATGCTTCTATTCTCTATTGTCTTTTGTTGCTGATGTGGGTGGCCGTGGAGGCAGAATGGAAACGTACCGATTTAGACACTAAGTAAATACTAGTACTAAATACCAGTAAAGAACGTAATTATTTTGCGAAACTTCGTCAGTGGAAATACTTCAATTGAACTTCACTTGGAAAAGCACGTATCCATGCAAGCGTTACCGTTCATTTTCAATTTTCGTTAAAAAAGGCTGACATCTTGAGCACATTGTAATTTTTTCATTATGGATTAACTTTTTCTCCCTATGGTAGCGTTATTACATGGACTTCATATTTATTTATTTTCTCAAGACACAGACCATCTTATTAATGATGAATGTTGAACCGCACTCAAACTCGACCATCTTATGAAAGTTGAACCGCACTTAAATTCATGAAAATTTTCGCTTATCAAAGTCCTAATATTTCTCGTTGTGGGTGACAGGACGCGGCCTATCGTAAGCATGGTGAACCACACTCTGGTCTTCAAGACAGAGTCTCGCACCCTCAACATCGAGGACACATCTTGCACCACACTCAGCGGTGTCGCCGTGCCCTGCGTCGACCTCCAGATCTGCCTCTCCTACACCGGCGTCGGTGTTGGGCCTTCTCTGACGTCCTAGATCTTTGGGGTCTTTGACGTCCTAGATATCTGACGTCCGAGATCTCAGGGATCACTGACGTACTAGATCTCTGGGGTCTCTGACGTCCTAGATCTCTGGGGTCTTTGACGTCCTAGATATCTGACGTCCTAGTTCTCAGGGATCACTGACGTCCAAGATCTTTGAGGTCTCGAATAGTGCCATGGTACGATTGCCTACAAAGGAATCGATTGTAATCATGAAATAAACTTATATATTTTTCAGATTTGTAGAAATAAATTCTAAGCGATTCCTAGTGTGTCTTCCGAATTGTGACCGGCCAGAAGAGAGTATACAAGGAAAAATAGAGGATGTTTCATTACCTTAACCAAAAGTATCCACCTGATAGATATTTTTTTTTTTTTTTGTTTCAGAGCTCGACCTCCGTTACTCTCTCGATGAGAAAGTTAACGAGCCGAGAATTTACTTCATCGAAAATAATAACAGAATTTTGACCGAAAGAATCACGATGAACAAGAACTCTCCTCTCTGTAAGATTCATCAAGTTTACGCAGTGGTGAGTTCACTTTTAGGTCAACACAAACTGGGCGCGATCCACAAATTTAGAATGAATTCTGCAATGAGGCAAGAAACATCCTTCATTTGCTTTTTTATTTAATAAAGAAAGTAGCAAAAAATATCTTTTCATCAAATCTATTTTTTATGATTTTCCATTAAATGAATTTACTGGATCGAGTGTATGGTTTCGGAAGCTTGTATGATAATTGAATGCAGTCGACAAATTAATTCTCCACTTACATTGCCATTAAATGGGTTCTCATTTGATATATTCTCAATTAATAGACATTTACGGAAAATTTTATTATTAAACTCACACTTGATTATTTACAATTTTTCAGACGACTCTGACAGATAAACTATCGCCTCTGACCGCAAACGTGACCTACACTCTTGTGGACGCGCCGTTCGACCGCCGTCGCCGCAGCGCCCTCACGCCAATCCTGGACCAGAAGCAGCAGCTCAGCCTGCATGACGCCATCACCATCTGGAAGAATTGTGGCATAGATAACGTCTGTGTGCCGGACCTCATTGTCTTTGTCGAGGCGTGAGTTTTCCTTTTTTTGGATAAACCGATACTATTAAAAGTTATGATCATTGATATTATGCGACGAAGAGATTATCGTGACTTCAGGTCTAAAACTTCGAGGGCACGTTACATACTTTTCTAAGTTCTAAGGTGAAGAAAAAAAGACACACTAGTTAGGATATGAAAGAAAAAAAAACAGTTATGTGCAATATTCAAAAAATCTACAAAATAGTTACGTCATTATTCATTTGAATTTATTTTATACGCCACAAATCCTGCGATGTGTTTGTAACTGAATATATTTTCTGAGTACAATTTTTATAAATGAAGTGAAATAACAGCTATACACAATTTAGTTGTCGTAGTTTTGCCCTAATATGCTCCATTTACATCAAGTATTAACAAGATGATTCGTTGACTGTTTGTCTCCAGACCTGACACGTACATCCTGGGCAAGCCGGAGCAGCTTTCGATCAACGTTCGTGTGACCAACAACGGCGAGGACGCCTTCGAGGCGGCCGTCTACGTGCCCGTGCCCCCAGGGCTGCTCTACAACAAGTTCATCTCGAGGGACAACACTTCAGGTGCGTTGCCATGACGCTTCATCATCATTTTCATCTTGCATTGATTCCGTAATAACTTTAGGTGCATTGCCATTATGATTCATCATCATTTTCATCTTGCATTGATTCCGTAACAACTTCAGGTGCGTTGTCATGACGCTTCATCTCCATTTTTATCATAAATTAATGCCGTAACAACTGTAAAATACCCGTATAATAATATTGCATTGACATTTCTTGGGAACAAGGAGTGTGAGTGTAAATAAAATGTATGATGCAGTTCCATTTTAAATTTTTTTTTAAATCGCCTGCAGAATTTATAGATCACTAGAGGGAACTTGGCTTTACCAAATTTTAGAAAATGTCTGTATTCTACTCGTCTTATTTAATAGTCGCCAATTGGTTGACCAATAGTATCATTCATTATTATTATTATTTCAATAATCAATTGTGTTTCAGTGACGTGCTCTCCACGCAAGCGGGACGGACAGACCATCATCATCTGCGACATCGGCAATCCTTTACCCATCCGCAAAGGAGTGAGCAGCATTTCCCTATGAGCTCTTGTGGATTGTGAAATTATTTAGAAACGCTCAGCTTGTCTCCTGCGATGAGTTGAACGTGTTAAAGTTGGATTTTGAGTCTACATTGTATTTAACGTTAACTTTGGATTTTTTAGTCTACATTGCATTTAAAATGAAAAGATATCTTTTCGAGAACTTCGTCTTTAGAATGTATTGCTTAAATTCAATGCAATTGAGGAACAATTTTTTGCTTACAGAATTTCGTAGTAATTGACACTATATACATTGTCAATTATTGATAAATGACACTATATACGGTAATATCTCAGCGGTATAATAGAGACTTCTGAAGAGTCAATTTCACACCACCTGCGATATCTTTTCGAGAACTTCGTTTTTAGAATGTATTGCTTAAATTCAATACAATCGAAGAACAATTTTTTGCTGACAGAATTTCGTAGTAGTTGACACTATATACATTGTCAATTATTGATACTTGATACTATATAATATCTCATGCGGTATAATAGAGTTGAACTTCTCAGTAGTTTATTGCCCCTGTGTCCATCAGGTGGTGTTCGACATGCTGTTCCAGCAAGGCGGTAACCTGGAGCGCCCTCACTTTGAGTTCGTTGTGATCGCCAACTCCACGAACCTGGAGGCTCAGGTGGTGTTCGACATGCTGTTCCAGCAAGGCGGTAACCTGGAGCGCCCTCACTTTGAGTTCGTTGTGATCGCCAACTCCACGAACCTCGAGGCGGAACACACGCGCGATGACAACGTCGCCAAGACCAACGTCATCGTCAATGTCGACACAGAACTCTTCCTTTACGGGTACTCACAAGTTCTCAAATGTTTGGGAAAATTTGCTCATTGAATAGAAAACATAGGTTACAATGGATGTCCTGACCTTTCTTATATTATCCTAGGACACAAAATACTGCATTCGACCTTTCTTTGATATTCACTTCCAATCCGCAGAAGACAAGATTTTCATCAATACTTTCATCATGCGTCTCGTTTTCTGCTATATTTTTTTCATTTTTCTGTCGTTAAACTCATGTTCCATGGTTTCAATCTTCTAGTACTGAATGTAACATTGCCTCAAACATTTTCAACACTATCTTTCTCCCTTTAGTAATGTTGTGGTTTTCTTACTCAACTTTCCTGATAACGAAACTGCCTAATTTTTTGTATCAGGAACTCGGAGCCTGAGATCCTCGAGTATAACATCTCGCACTACGCTGAAGGCGCGTACACCTACGAGGAAGAGTTCGGTCCTCTGGTGATGCACAAGTACGGCCTGTCGAACAAAGGGCCTTCCGATGTCCTGCTCGTCGATATCGTCATCCTGTGGCCTTCCAAGACCCAAGAAGGTCAGGAAAATGTTTTGATTTGATGTTCGCAATGTGAGATTTAAATGTTAAACATTTATCTAAAAATTGTCAACAGAAATTGTTCAAATAATTTTTCAGTCTTTATTCCCCGTTGAGACAAATATATTAGAAACAACATTGGCGTAAGTGATGCTTGTAGTAGTAGAATATAATTCAATCCTTAACTTAGTACAATACGAGTGGCGAATTAACTAGCCATATGTAATATTACTGATGTGAAGTAATTGCGTCAATATCGCAATAAAAATAAATATGTCATAGCGTGAAATGTGAACTCTTTTCTCATTTCTGTGATACTGTTTTTCGGGAGGCAGGCAACGACCTTCTCTACCTGCTGGAGCAGCCCTTCACGAGCGGGCCCGTGGTATGCGACCCAGTGCCGGACCTGAACCCTCTGCAGCTGCAGGTTATTTTTATTTCTTCTAATACGACAGACATGACAAATTTTTTAGATCTTTATTATTTTACGTAGATTTTTTTCAAAAATAAATATTAAAGCTATGAATAATGCCAGCTTATTACACGAAAGAAAATCTGAAATTGTACAGATGCTTCACCAATAACATGAAATTTTTGTCTTGATAGCTCGCCAATCGCGCTGAGACGTACAAGCTCCTCAAGCTACAGGCGGGCTTGGGCAGCGGCATTGGAGGTTCAAAATACGCTGCTTCGACCTCAAGCTCTTCATCCACAAGCTCCTCAAGCTCATCTTCCTCTTCATCAGTTTCGGGAAGCACTGGTTTTTCAAGAAAGAATGAATTCTCAAGCAGCAGTGCCGGTGAATCCAGTGGGGCTGGATCTAGGAGCGAGTATAGTTCTAGTTTCTCATCTAGTGGTGGATCTTTCCGATCAAGCAGCAGCAGCTCGAGCAGTGCTAGCGCTCATGGAGCTTCTCTAGCTGGCGGATCACGGTACGAAGGTTCGGGTAGCGGATCCATAGAGACCTCAAGGCAGGGTACAACTTATCCGGCTTCGGGAACACTACATACCCGAACTGTCATAGGGGCTGGAGAAAATATCCATGCTGGATCTAGTGATGGCTACTCTCGTTCCAGTACTGGATCCTCTAGACAAGTATACTCACAATCCAGCCAGAGTGGAGAATACTCACAAGGAGGCCGTGTCCACGGTGGGGTCCACACCCAGTCTAGTGGTGCAGTGTCTGGCCACGTATACCCTACGCAACAAGTTGACGGACAATATCAAAGCTCCTGGGAATATTCTCAGCCTGACTCAGAATCAAGGAAAGAACTTCATGAGTCGAGTACTAGGTACCAATCTGGCAGTGGCTACCAAAGAGGGAGTGGCGGTCATCGAAGTGGGTCTTCTCAAGTTAGTGGTTACCAAACTGGTGGTGTTTACCAAAGCGGTAGTGGTCAACCATTGGACCATGCCTCTCAAGTTGATGGTTACCAAGCAGGCAGTGGCTATCAAACTAGGGGAGGCTACCAAAGCAGTAGTGGCTACCAAACAAGTGGCACATATCACAGTGGATTAGGAGGAGACGCTGACCAAGGCATCAGGAGGTCTGGCTCATCATCTCACCATTACTCTTCAGGAGGCCCCGGCAGAACAAACATCTCCCGTAGCACCACAACTTACTCGTCCAGGTCCTCGTCAAGCTACAAGACAGACTCAGCTCCTCAGAATCAAATTATAGAACATCGCTTTAAACGCGACACCGAAGACCCGGAGCTTGATTGGGAGACAGAGGTTGGATTTCATTCAAATCAATTATTCTAATTAATTTTCGTTCCCTCGCTTCTTTTAAATTTGGATATTTGTATTGAGGAGATTACATCTTTATTTTAATTAATAGTCTAATTTACATTGCACGTTCTAACTAATGAATTGAACTCACGATAAACTTTGCGCAACAAAACGAAATTGATGTACGGTAGTTTGCAGTGCAAGAACGTTTCTCTACAGTCTGATTGTACGTGTTGCCCCAGCTTGCTAGATATATTTCCTTCTAACTATATCCCATATGGTGAATCATTATCATATTACCTATTTCCTGCTACCTTTATCCCAAAAAATTGACCTTTATCCTACAAACTATATCCTATATATGAATTATTATTCCACCACATATATCCGCTATTATGAATCGTTATCTTAAAACCTATATCCAATATGATGAATTGTTATCCTAGCCCCCAAATCCTATCAGATAAATCGTTATCCCATTACGTATATTCAACAGACGACCAACTGTGGCGCCACGGCCTGCACGTTCATCAAGTGCACCGCAGGACCGCTGGCTGAAGGCGACGATCTGTACGTCATCTTGCGATCTCGCGTAGACTTGCACACGCTTAAAAAGGTTCGTTAAGTACTCATCAATTGGGGAGGCAGAGCCTTTTATTAGCACTCTAGTTTTCCGTTAACAATTTCTGACAATAAATTACTTCAGCTAGTTTAATGGAGATAAAAATTTAATAAAAAAATAAGCTAGTTTAATGGCGAAACATTTATTTAGCTTGAATCTTAGCCTTTGCACTGTTCTTTCAACAGCAATACACTGTTGTATATTTTAGTTCTGCAAGCATATTAATTAGTTCTGCAAGCATATTTAGTTCCCTGCAACAGACATCATCAAACAATAAATTTCAGGTATTATCGTTATGCAAAAAATCATACATTCGTACACAGTATTTTAATAGATCGTACAAATTATCTGTCCTAAAGTGGGTCCAAAGTTCTTCTCGAACTAAAATCTTCGTGCGTCACTGAACCCTTCAACGAAGATCTTAATCTCTCTTCATTGCAAGCATTGGTACTGATCTCAAGAGGTCCTCTGGGAGAACCTGCATCCGGTTGTTGAAATTCTCAAGTCATGTTACATATAACCATTGAGATACGCCCAGCTCCTCTTCTGATCTGCTGTTGCTATCACTCAATCATTCAAACGACCGCTACGCTATCGAGCATCAATGTCATTCATTGCGCATTCCGTGCTACCGCCGCTTATCGAATTCTTCAAATTCCTTTGCAAGTCAAATATTTTAAAGGGAGATGAACATTTTCAATCACTTCCGTTCCTGGTTCTATACTTTCAAAAAAAAAAAATTGAGAGATCGTAAGTTCATCAGCCAATCATTGACGGCTTTTCAAGCAAAATCCACCAATCACAGGCAAGAAAATAGAGCGTATATAAGTACTTACGTTCACTTAGCGAGTTTTGAAAGTATGGCCCCTAGTATCGGGAATACTCGACAGGAATGCATTGTCATTAATGATCTCCTTACAAATTTGTGTAGTATAGTTTTCCCGTTCAGTTTACCATTGATGGTCGAGTATTTTTCTTCAGATTTTCGGCATTTATAATTATCAAGCAGTAAGTTCTATTGCTGTGAATGGCGAGAGTTCAAGTGGTTGCACTTGATCATTGGTCGATTATGTTTAAGTTTGAATGCAGTCGCTTATCTGTCGCCACAAATAGCGCATTCCTCAGTCGAGTAGCTCAAATTCTTCACACGTTTCTCTATTCAGTTACTATGCCTGAGTTGATTTTCCTTAACTTATTCAAATATTTTAAAGGTCTTCAACGTTGGAATCATTCCATATATTTCAAAATTTTTACCGTTGCTATGATCGGATGACTTTACTGAGCGTTAGTTAAATAATACCAGGTGCGTTTCGGGTGTGCAACTTTCGCTTGATCGCTCATGTAAATTTTTTCACTGCCACCTAGAAATGTGTGCAGTTGTAAATTTATACAAAGGAATTTAAATTCGTCATGCCTTTACCACATTTCATCCATAATCAATTTATACGTATATATTAACGGCCTGTTACCTTATATTAATAGGCCGCTTCACTGTGGTATCTCTTCCACTAAATTTTTTACTAAGTTTTCCCTATGGCAAATGTAAGTCAATCCCCTTAATGCATCAAACGTATTGCTTTCTTATACGTAATCTTCAGATGTCATGCAAATTATGACCTATTGCGATGTTATTGTGTGTCATCATGCACGCAGTTTTATTGACAAAATCGGTCTCTGTGTCCTTCCAGTGCATGAATTTTTCCTTTGTCCAGTCTCTGACTCATTTTTCGTATATATTCGTATTTCTTAAGCAATTAAATTCTCGGCTTGTCCCAAAAAGTGTTGCATAGGGCTCGAAATGAAGCTCATATAAATGAAGCTAAATGAAGCTCGAGTTTATAGCCACACTAAATCTATAAAAAAATTTAAATGCGTAGAATTTATGTTAATAGTAATGATCAATCGCCATCTGCAGTTGATGAATGATCTGATTTGGCTGTCGCTGTGGAAAGCCCTGTTAAACCACTGGGAAAGCATCCGATGGAAGTTATGCTATTTTGTTATTTCAGTTGTAGCTTGTGACGGTGAGCCGAGTAACGCGTCTTAATGCGACATGGTGATGACATCAAACTTTTTTGCAAATCGTATAGCGTGTCTGAATGCTCTGGACCCATACTTTCAAAAAAAGTTAAGAGATCGTAAGTTCATCAGCCAATCATTGACGGCCTTTCAAGCAAAATCCACCAATCATAGTCAAGAAAATAGAGCGTAAGTACTTACGTTCACTTAGCGAGTTTTGAAAGTATGGTCCCTGCTCGTTAGCAATTCTATTGATAACCTCAATGATTGTTTTTGCTGAGTCATCTTCCCAAGTTGTTCACTTCTGTAACTATTATTTTGTGATTTTCTTTTTAAAATATTTTTCCTAAAATATGAGTATTTATTAATTTGTCGATATATGCAGCAATCTATTGCGAGTTTGCAGGTTTTTTCCCATTTTCTTTGTCTTAAATTCCCGCACTTGTTGTCTCTTGGAAATATTTAAGCGCCATCGCATAGTAATTGTTATTTAGAGTTATTCTCGTTAGAAATGATTCTGTATTTGCGCATAATTCCAGTAGATTATTTAATTCAAGAAAGTCACTAAGTGAAATGCCATTTAAATTAATTATTTTTTAATAATTCAAGCGTACGTAAACGTACGAATTGAATAATAATTGAAGCGTAATAATTAAAGCGTAATTAATAATTGAAGCGTACGTAAACGTACGTATTGAAGCGTACGTTTTATGTTTAATAATTGAAGCGAACGTAAACAGAAAAACGTGACATAAATTACTTGTATTCAATTCTATTGACTTTGTTCGCGTTCATCCTTCAATTCCTAATTTCTTCTTATCTTCTTACAGGATCCAATGGTATGCTGTCTGGTAGAGTATGTTTGTATGAAGACGTTCCTTCATAATTTTCGTTTTGACTAACATTTTGCCAATTAATGACCCACATTTTTCACTTGTGCTAACCCTACTTGCTGTTGACCATGCGATTTGAGTAAGGGTTTATCGGTCGGTCAGAAGACGTCTATTTTCTGTATGAAACGTATTGAATTATTACAATCAATGTATCTCCAAGATGTGATCGATCTTCAGTTCCCAAGACCGAGATATTTTGGTGAAACGTTCTGCCTTTGGGTCACAATGTTGAGGATAGGAAAGGTTCAATCTAATGAATATGTTATGAAAATTTTTTCGATGAGCCTGCTGCAAAGGAAATAATATTTTTTTCTTGTGTTCGTTTGATTTAGAATACAATAAATGCACTAGTAAGATTCCTAATAGAGGTGTTTTTTCAAGTACTTATATCATTAGTCTGCTTATATCGCAAGTTCACAAGGAATTTAAAAGCAAAGAAAAGGCCAAGAAAATTGGGCAAATAATATATATAAATATATATAAATAATATATATAAATAATTATGTTATGAAAATTTTTTCGATGAGCCTGCTGCAAAGGAAATAATATTTTTTCCTCATGTTCGTTTGATTTGGAATTCAACAAATGCACTCTTAAGAGTCCTAATAGAGGTGTTTTTATACGTCGTGGTCAGCCTAATAATAATGACTAATAAAGCCTTTTAACCCAGGGTGCGTGGTACAGAACTGAACCTATGAAGCGGCTTTAGTAATTATTTTCCGTTTTTATGATTAACTGATTATGAAATTTACATAAATTCCGAGTGTGGGCTAATGGTTTGTGTCTGTGATAAACTTCTAAGAACGATGGCGTAAAAAATTACGTAGAATAAAGTCTAAAAATGTCGTTTTATAACTAAATCGTTTTACTTTTTTGCTTCTTCATGTGTAATCATTTCCTATGGTGGAATTATATGCATTAATGTCAGTTCCAGTATTAACATAACATATTTGATATTTGAATAAAGATGTTATATTTACGTACTTTGTGAGGAAGGGGCACGCGAAGGCTACGGCCAAACTAAAAGTGTTCACGAGTTTTTAATCTAAAAAAAACGCTTTTAGGTTTACGCACACAGTGAAAGCAGGTTGCCAGCGTGCTGGTTACCTGCTCAGGCTGGCGCCTGAAACCATAGAATACAGAAGCCTATTCGTACAGGTTTTCACTGTGAACACTTACATTATTATCCTATGTTCATTCTAGTGGCAGGTTGGAGCAGGTTGCCCGCGCGGGCAAACCTGCTTTCACTGTGTACGTACCCTTAAGTCTGGCCGTAGCCTAAGAGTACATTGGAAGCTTTACTGGCATTGGAACGCTCAATTGGAATACTGAACAGCTTGGATGGAATGTTCTACAAAGTCCCACCTATAATTTTACTGGTATATCACCGCATCTCTAAATCGAAGAACTACAGCAATTATTTATTTTCAGTCGCCGGTATTAGTGTGTTACGTATGTGTTGTGGTTTATTGTTCTTTTAGGTATTGCATTCTTTATAGGAATAATTTTTTTAATTCATCATTCAGAGGGTAAAAAGGAAAACTTTTATTGTTTAACTTAACAACAGCTTTGGCTTGCGAATTTTTTATTCTTTTATCGGTGGTGCTTCTCATCTTTTATAAATGTTGTCGTACCACTAATATCATACCACTTAGGAATCTTTTGATGCAGTATTTACGCTTATCCGATGCACTGCCAATTGTAGTAAGTATTACACGCGTCGGCCTCCCGCAAAACCCAGATTTTGCTTCCATTTCACTGTCGCTATCGTCGATCAGTAAGGTCCTCAGTACCGATCACTGAGACTCTCGTTACTTAATCAATATAAGCTCGGTGCCCTTAAATACAACTCTCAGTAACAATCATCATTACTACTAACATACTTGGCTCAAGCTTAACACTTTCCTCTCTGCGCAGTTCGTGTACAAAGACGTTCAGATCAGCAGCCGCATGGTGGCAAGAGTGCGCAGGCTACCGCAGAATGTCAGCCCCGACTTCCTCAAGGTGAAAGTCGTTCAGAAACTTGAACATGAATTATTTTTGCGTGACAATGTCGCATCTCAAACTAAAGCCTCTACAATCTAAAATTGTGTTTCTTTAAAAAAAAGTGAGACGAGGAATAATCATGTTGAAACGGTTATTAGAAGTTAGAATTATTTTAATGAAGGAGTTATCGACTCTGTCTCAGGTACGAAGCTTGTCTGTCTCTACGCCTGTGTCGCCGTCGGTGTCTCTTGACGAACCTCCGCCCATCCCGTGGTGGATCATCGTTTAGTACCATGTATCTACTCTATCATGGTTATCTTATTTTTATTCGCAATTACTCCACTGTTTCAGCTACAAGTAAATGACTTTTTTGTTTTCATTCAGGTAGATCTCGCGTTTTCTATTTCAAATTGTTCATCGTTGGCTGGTCCTTCTTTCACACGTGATTCTCAGCATGTGCCGGTTGGCCGACGATAATATTTCCACGGATGATGATTTATTTATCTCTTTTTTTTTATTCGATGTGATCAACCTTCTATTTGTACTCCCGTCGTACATGCTCTTCAATGACTTAGTTTTTACACTAGTCTTGATCTTTCTCTTCCGAAAATAACTCTTGATATCATTTTCCATGTTACTAAATATATTCATTTCTTATGAAAGTCTATCCTGTTGCTTCACCTTCGGGAGCCACAGCTTCGTTGAGATCGCTTAAGCAAACTCTTCATTGAGGTTTGTTTTTGCCCCTCCCATTTATATATTTAAATTGCACCACTCCTCACAAATTCTTGTCTCTCCGTGGCAGTTGGGATTCTTCAAGCGACGTCGACCTCAAAATTATCAGTAGGCGCTTCAGCTGCTGATTTCTCTTCTTCATTCGTACGTTTATGCTCTTCTGATTTTGTTTCTCGCTTCCACTAAATTGCTTTTGACTTTGTTTCCTCTCACTTTTACAAAAATTCAACTGGGCCTAATATTCCAACTCATACTTCTAACTTAACCTTCAGTTGTCTTCCTGGGAAAACCATCGCTACGATATTACGTGTTACGTTCTTAGTGAGAACTCCTTACCAACAGCTTCTCGACGGCTTTCTTAGGGTAACTCGTTGCCGGCTATGCATTTCGTGTACCACGCTCTGCTGATAATGAAACTTATGTATAGAAGCATTCGCCAGATTGTTTGCGAGTTTACGAATGTTTCAAAACAATGTCTTAAACAGTTCACCATTTATTTTTACACTAACTTCTTTGTGAGCCATGTTCGCGGTTGTGCGAGACCTTGCTTCTATATCACGTAACTGTTCCTAGGCGTGAGCGGTGCTTAACGTTCAGTAACTTTTTGTTCCGCTTGGTCGACTTATTTTGCCCTTCTACTCTGTTTTAAAATAACGACGCTATTACCTCAATATGGTATGCTAACTCGAGATTGTAAATGTTCATGACCAGCTGTTCTTAACATGAAACGGGTTTTAAAGCACTGGAAATAATATGGAATTGGCAAATTTACACAATTTTGCATCATTTGAGTTTAATTAATTGTCAGATACATTTGAGTTTGTTAAATAATCAAATTTCATTCATTCAAGAATTTTCTCTTTGACATATTCGCAATTTTTGCGGAATCATATCGTCGCCTCTAAAAATGTTTACCTAATTGCAAAGCTCGTTGTTGTTTTATTCACGTTCCTACTCATCGATAATGAAAAAACTTGTCACTTATCTCGAGGTTGTACTTTATTAATCCATATGTTAATCACTAATTGAAAGTAATACTGACAAAACCAATGTTTTTCAGTGTGGTTACTTCAAAAGAAATCGTCCGGAAAAAGAATCCGCGGACGAAGCTAGTCGACCGTTACACTCCAACGGTCAGTCCAACGGCCATCCGTCGAACGTTAACGGTCGAGGATATTCAGCCAACGGCCGGAACGGTCAAAGTTCAATGCATAAACGTTTACACCCTGGCGACGAAGCTCTTTGATATTTAAGACCATAAGAAACTGCTGATTTTGTCGAGTTTTTTATATTGGCATGAGCCTGTTACTTAAAGAATCTATCTACCGCATTTGCAATTTCTGGAAAATTGAAATTGATTTAAAGGGAAAAATGTTCTTTTTATTATAAAATATAATGGGTATTTTTGTAGATGGAACTTCATATATCACATCCTTGAACCAATCTGCATAATAAAGTTGACGCCCAACGAACAAAGAAGCTTCTACTGTAAAATAAAATTTATTCGTGTTGTGAGCCATTGTTGTTATAGTCTTGTGTGAATAAATGTCCAATGTGATCATGTCATGTACTAATCTGACTTGCTTAATTAAGAGGCTAATGTGTATTGTGTGTATGTGCCATGAGTACTCTGCGTACTGTGTGGGTCTCTGTATTTGTCGGACCTTATCTGTGTTATAATCCATCGGTGTGACTTTTACAACGTGCCTTCTATTAGCTTCATTGTACAGATGCAAAGATATATAATATGTAACACTTTCAATGTACGCTGTTTTTATCTTTTATTGCTCTACGATTCTTACAATACCGCCAAAATTGCACAAACTTTTCTATGTGGATTCCCTATTGGATTGAATGTTTACTGTTCATTTTTACGTAATTTGAAAAATAAAGATCACTGGAAAGTACTGTTTAAATTTTTGTGGCGGCAGAACAACTTAATTCGACTTCTACAACGCTCGTGTAATATTTTTAGCGTGAGAAAAATTTGCGCTTTCTTCATTTCAGTGCTGTTACATGTGTCTTATTTGATGCCTTTTCGAATCTAGGTAGAATTTGTGTATTAATGGTGCTTTATTCCTAGGATATATTGAGAAAATAATTGATTGTTATTTTTTTTGTAAGTAACCAAAGCGTTTTCCATGGAAAATCGACATCGCTGATTTATTCTGTGGACATCGTTTTGTAAATATTTAGCTTTAAATATATTCTGCTTTGCCAAGTCTGATTGCCATGGCCTCTGACTGAAATTGACGCTCCCCAAATTATTCTATTAACGCTTTAATTAAAGTAATCTCGCTCAAAGTAACCCTCGTTTGTATTGAGTTTTGATCTTTTTGCTCATAACTCTCGATGAAACATTTTAGTACTTTTATCCTTCCTCAAGCACTGATATGTAGTAGATAAGAGATATGTTCTTTGTACTATCATCTCTTGCTACAGCATCAGTGAGGCGTTCAAGTCTTGCAGCATCAGTGCGACGTGTAGACTGTGCACGATGTTTTCAAACGAATGCCATTAAGTAGTTATCGCTTCGAAACTTCATTTCAAATAAAGTATTCTCCGGTGGACCTAAAACTTTCGTAATCATTCAATCTGAAGAAAGTTCTTTCCGATACATTTTGTCTGAATAGATCTGACAATCTTTTTTTAATTGGCATTGATCTGGTCATTGGCACCTACATCAACGAGCAATCGCTAACGAAAACAAATTAATAGTTCATCAAGTGCCGAAGAACTATTCTGACCTCTAACATTTAATTATATTGATAAAAGTGGTGACATTTAGCCAAGTGCATGTAAGGTTTCATTTATACTCCCGACACTACTATCTTATCATGGAGGGGGACAAGGGTTTACCAGCAGTCGTTGAGTGTTGGCTGTACCTTCATTCATATATTTCTTCTCAACAGAAAAGAACACAGACAAAACACGTTTTCAACAATTCACTTGGTATCGCGCTTCTTACCGAAGCACTTCATATTTTAATTGATCTAATCTGCCATTCATGTTAGAACAACACACAGTCACGTACACATCGATAACCTTGATGTTCATCCTGATGTGAATTCCGTTTTAGATGAACTTATGTTTTTAATTTTATCATGTCATCATTTTGTTTTTTTTTTAAGTTGTCGTACTTACTACATATGGAATGAGAGCTGTCCACACTTTGAAATTTTTTCACGGCATCAGTAAAACTTTAATTTTATTATTTTGGCAAGTGTTACTAATGCTATCTGAAACTTTAAAAACGCAAAATGATTGATTTGTTGGTAGCAGCCCATATTTTTCGAACTTATTGTCGGCCAAAAATGATAGATGTATTTCGGGACTACCCTATAATTAATTTTGAATTAACGAACATGAAAAATTCTCTGATCTAGCGTTTCGGATTTCTCTCTTGTGCTGAAATTTATCGTAAAGCGTCGGCTGTTCTTGAAAAATTCCGACATGAATTCATAATAAATTCATACGCAATTAATTATTCTCTCCGTAAAATTTGTTAAAATTCTTATTGTTTGTATGAGGTTATGAATCTCAAAACATTTCGTTCCTTTTATGATTTACTGGATTGATTTGTCGAAGAGCATTACTTATTTTATAAATATTTTCTCGCGAGTATCATAAATAAATTTTGCTGTCTGTTTTGGCTAGGACTTATCTGTACATATGTGAATAATCTGTACAAGAAATAACTTATTCAAACTAATCTTAATAAAACGCTCACATACATCGTGATTATTTATTATTGTAATCCTTCCGGAATGTTCCGTTATCAAATTATTCGTGGGTTGTTTTGAAATCGTTAAAACCATTGAAAGCATGGGGTTTCATATGTTTTAGGTGGCTGAAAAATCCAGTGATCATGAAATGGAAAGCAAAATAAATACTTAATAGAAAAAATTGTTCATATAACTAATTTGAAAACTTACTGAATGCTGAATCGGAGAAGTGTTTCCTAGTCGGAGAAGTGTCGATTCGGTCGGTAAATCATAGTTCACAGTTCTGACGTAAGAATAAGTCTGTAACTGGAGGAGAAAGTGGGACGGATATGACGCTTCATGTTTGAAAAATAACTTAGACTATTAAGTTCACCTAGAACAGGAAATTGATTTATCATTGAAATTATATTTTAAATATTACTGAAATTTATTGATTCAATATTTGTCTCCGCATTCTAGTTTCCGCTTTAGCGTCCGTAGTTGCTTTCTACGCTCCTACGTCCAGCCGCAGCCTCCATGTTGCCGCCAAAAACAGGCTGGTGTTACAGTTCTATTAGTTCAACTGTTCAATAGAAAGCAAGCATGTAATTCTAGTGCTTTTAGTGTTGATTTGAATCCAAATTGAAATGTGTTATTTGCGTACGTTACTCTAGTAAATTTCATGGTATTGCCGAGGTACAGGATCTCAAGCCCAACAGTCTACCACGGATCTATTCTAATACGAGTTACATCATGAGTCATCGTCAGAACGTGTCGCCCGAAAACACTCAACTATGGTAAAAGGCAACTCGCAGCACTTGATTAATATCTGCTAGTGAGTAGAAAGAAATTCTTTTTTAATCAATGCAGACCCATTCATTTAGTAAGCAAGTTTCCTCGGCACAAATTTTACGGTAATAATGTAATTATTATTGGAAACTGCCGTGATAAATTCAGCTGCTTCCTTGACGCGGGTGGAAATGCATGAGCAGGTGAGCGTTTCAACTTGTTCACCTACACATATTATCTATTCCTTTGCATTGAATTGTCTGTTGCACCCATTACCCAATGTATTCCTTGGTTAAAAAAGTGACGTTACGTCAGTTGTAGACTTGAGAAGTTCTATATTCATAATTTCATATTGGAGGCCAGGTAAGAAATGTTCATCAACTTCAGCTGCCATAAATAATAATTGATTACCGGTAGGTAATGTTAAAACCATTGCATACTCAGAGTCAGTTTAGCCTGCTGACATTCCAATTTAAAAAAATTGTCAAACAAACTAGCTTTTTTATTTATTTGTATACCTAAGTGATCTTGCACAGATCTACATAGCCTCTTTCTAGCCATCTAGGAAGTAGGTAAGGAAGCTGCATAAGCCTTAAGCCATAAGTATAAATTCGATCTGGATATATTCTGTTGAACTTCTTTAAGATCATTGTTATTAAAAAAATCCATGGTGCATCTCATCACGTAGGAGGTTATTATAGCAATTCCATATAATTGTTATTTGTTATCAATATTAATTTTGCCTGAAAATGCTTTAGAACATATTGTTAGTAGTTAGAGCATCCTTTCAAATCACTGTTGACCAAAAACATACAGTATTTATAGGAAGAAACGTTAATTATTCTCTCAAAAAATAGATCTTCGTCCCACTTGAACTTTCTCATTGATTTGGCAAGCGGAGGCACACTCTCAGTCCACAAACGTATTGTGACTGATGACTCGACATTGTGATGACACGTCACACGTCATAATCATAAACCCCTACACCAATGTTTTACATTCATGGCACGTTCTTAAAAAATATGAAATGACTAGGTCAGGCCAGGGTTCTATAGAAATTGAAGCATCGGTAAAATGAATCCAACTATCAGCACAGATACCAGGTAGTACTTCCGTTGACGCGATCCAACTAATGATTCGGCTGATAGCCGAAGTTTCCAAGTAGTTTCCAATGTCACTGGTTGACGAAACTATTGCCGTTTCACTTCGCTAGATCTACCAGCCTTTTAATTATATACTTTTGTCTCTATCTGGCTTCCCGCCTAGTCTGGAAGCTTTCATTTGTCTCGCAATGTTCTCTGATTTGCATGCGTTCGTATATGAATACTTGTAACTAAGGCGCGAGCAGAACCACACACTTGGCAGCTCGTCGAGGTTTGCCGCCAAAACTTAACATGCGGCGCTACCTTGTACCGGCATTTGTATGTTCTCGTCGTAATCTAAAAAAACTTGTGAAATACTTAAAGTGGTTTTGATTCCTAGAGGGTTTTTATATCGTATACTCTTGAATTATTGAAATCACAGAGATCGCCTGAACCTATCTAGAATTTTTCTGAATGATCGAGAATTTTATACAGTCGTCTAATCATCTCGCGCTGTTGAGAGCGTTTGCTCTTACCAAATAATGTGGTGCAACATAATCAATGCGTTTTGCCGCTGTTCTCCAAATGATGGTTTAATTCTTGCTTATTTAATATGCTCGAAACTATCTAACGTGGACAAAAAGTCATTCTCTGGTGGTTGCTAGTCAAATTTCTATCAAGACTTCCGGTGAATTTTTGACTATACTCAGAACTGAGCTCCGTCGTTTTTTAAATCACGTGAAATTGTTGCACAGATAATTTTTCCCGTTGCTATTAAGGAAAATATCTTCATTCAGCTCCTTAATTAAATTAAATCGATCGATAAAATGGGCCCATGATGCCCAAATTCCCAATAAAAAAAAAAGATGCATCTCATTCGAACTGTAATTCATTTTTTTGTATGAGCAACCAATCTACTTCAGGCTGATTTATTTGCTGATATGGTTTATCCAACATGTTCAGCGATTGTTTGTCCGTGCTTGGTGCTGTTTCCATCTTGTAGAACGCAACGACCAACGAATGAGTCACAATTTACAACTTGTGAGCAATATTAGCATTCGTGCGCGAAATTTCGAGAGCATTACCTGTTCCATCTCCAAATCTTTGCTTCAAAAACCAACACACTTGCCGAACTTCAAGAACCAATGTGCAAACATAGCTAATATTAGGAGAAACTACGTATGTTACTATAATTTTTTATATGAATACCTGTCTTATGTCGTTACGTCTTACTCATGTGAATGAATGTAAATCGTTGCTGAATTTAAGAATGCGGTTGAGTGTGCCTGGTATCATGGTACAATCGTCATACAATCAGTACGCAATCGTTGGAAGAAGATATCGTCGCCATTCAATTGCAGCTCCAATAACTTGAGCAGAAATTTGAAATTTCGTCGGTCTTGAGTAATGAGTAAGTTGCGCTAAAATTCTTACTTGAAATTTGAACTGTTTTCTCCATTATTCATACCAATATGATTCTGAATGCATTGTTGAAGCATCTCATGGTAGAGGTCGAAGCTGGGTTCATGCGTTATCGCCATGACTCATTATATGTCATCACGGAATGCCACTGCACCGAACTCCCCTCTATTCAACTATAGAAAGACCTAATACGTCTCACAATTGAATTATTTTTATATATTAATAGTATGAATGTACATTTTATGTGAATTTATATTAAAGTTATTCAATTTTCATAGAAAACGTTAAGTAAAATTTGTAACACTATACCTAACATCAGTCAAAGCTACGCTGATTCTACTAAGCATACTTTTGATGAAATTTTATGGAATAGAGAGAAAATTAAGAATGAATGTAGGGACTTGATTATAATTACTCCATGTATTTTCAAAATCCATGCTCAGTAATTCCAATTATAAGAGACTGTGAGCTGTTTAGTTCCTATTAGTGATGCTCGTGATAACGTTGCTTTATGAAAAGTGCTGTCACTCCCTCCGCGGCCTAATTGGCCTAATTGTATAATATAGATGCAGATCATAATTATTTAAGAATAACTTATGTTATACGTATGTCTGGTAAATAAATTTCTCATCGACAAAAGGATTTAAATAAACATTGAAACAAAATGTATGTTAAAGCAGCTGATGCATTTTTACTGATATTTTTGTGCTATTGATTGATTATTTTTTTCAGTTGAATTTTTTGTAACTTTAAACGCAGCGCACGATGTAACAATCATATGATCATGATGTGCTGAACATGTTACGAATTAGGTGAATACCACCATTTAGACTAGATAATTTGACGCTAGGTTATGAAGGCAAGTATAAGTCGCTTGTTCGAATTAATGGCGTCATCTCCTGATAACGTAGCTGATTGGGTCTCCGCGTTAGCAAAATTGGCGGGAATTGCTCAATTTTATTGAGCAAATCATTTGAGATGCTTTATGGTGTAATAATTGACTTTGATAAACATTTGGCATTCACGGCTTAACAGCAAATTTATTAATTTGTTGTGATTTTTTTTGCGAATTTTAGTTTTGAGTGAACATCTCGCTTTTTAAAATTTAGTATAGTTTATTATTAGAGTTAGCGCATCTACAAGGATTTGCTGAATCGCTAGAAAATAAAATCACTTGCTAAATCGTACTCCATTTTCAAAAAATCTAATACGGAAATAATCCTGATTTAAACGCGTTGTTTAGTCAATTATTTTTTTACAATTGAGAATATCTGTATTTAGATTTACTTACTGAAAGTATACTTAATAACTCATTAATGAAAAATATATATTTTATTTGTAGGCTTGAAACCAAGGCTTGAACTCTTGCGGAATTTAATGTTCGAATTTGATTAGGTGCTTACTAAAAAACTCGTCTTATTTCTGTTCCTTTAATCAATGCTTCGAAAAATATCGATGAACGATTTATCAAAGACTAAGATCAAATTCTAATGAAAATATTCAATCAACGAAGCGGAATTTACGATTTTGAATTTTTTACCTGTTTTTTCTATGATTTTCAAGCGTTAATGTTCATTTAGATATGGGTTATTGACACGAAATGGCATCCTACGCTGGCGGTAATCTTAATTAACGAGCATCTGCCAATTTAATCAATTTTAGTCATGTTTTTTTACAAATCGTCTCAAGTTAGTCGAGTAATAAATTGTCACTAATAATTCAAATTTGCTGGCACGAAAATCCG